GGAAATTCCTCTGGAAGAGGCCTATGGCTTAGGACAAGCTGAAGGTACTGAGCCAACAAATTTGAGTAATAATAAATATGTAATATATAAAAAGTATGCATGTCATGTTTCTGTGTCAGATAAGTTAGTATGTAAGTTATCAGCAATAAAACCTATAAATAAATAAATAAAAAACTTCCAGTAATAAATGTGACATAAAAATATGACATAGATAAAATAAATTACAATGTAATTATTTTAAAAAATACTCGCTATACTTACATCAGTTCAAACATATCAACTGCCATAAAGGTGACTATCAATTTCAGTATAAACAGCAGAATAAAATCAATAAACTCTGCAAAAAGCCTCTTATATAATGGAGGTATTACATACTCATAGCCTCCGTGACGGCCAATTACTGAAAAAGAATTAATAAAATGGGTATTTTTTATATTACACTGTGTGGAAAATAAACTTGAAATACACATTCAATACTTTTGTATTAAATAAATTGTGTCAAAATATACACACCTCCTTTAGCCTAGCTTAATGTATATTGTATCTGTATTGTATCAATGAAAATTTTGGATGTCATTTATTTACTTTACTATCATTCATGTGTAAATAAGCTTTTTTAATATTTTTAATTTTAACATTTGATTGTGATGACCAATAATACTGCTTTATCAGTAATGTGAGAGCAACTTCATTTTGTTCTATAATAGGTGTCTATCCTTTTTTTAAATGTCTTAATGATGGCCAAAAATGTGAATATCATTAGAAAAGTTGTAAAAAATAAAAAACAGCACATCATGAAATATTATTTTTTATTTTGTTTTAAATTTTCATCTGAGTAATTCCACAGAACAAACCATCAACAGCAGTTATATTCACAATAGAACTTAGTGTCTTTTCTGACCGTCATCGTTTCCAACAATGATTTAGCTGTATTTTTTTTGTAAAGTAGGAATATATTAGTTACTACACAACTAACTGGCTTCATAAAACCAATTAAACAATTAAGAAATACAAAAGAGAGATCAATTTAAATTATATACATGTGAAAAGCCTTCCTCAAAATTAACTTCTGTCAAATATGGTATGGTATCTTATAATAATACAGCAGTATGTGTGAAAGTACGGCAATATTAATTTTTTGTTTTAGTTTTTGTTGCCCAAGATTAGCATACAGACAAAGGTTTCGATCCTGACAAATCGAAGGAATTTCTCTTTGTTATTAATAAGAGTATTGTGTTTAATAAAATCTTGATATTTATGTGGCTATATTTGCAAAAGCATCATTATTACCATTGCTTCATACCACCGTAACAGAAGTTGATAAAAGTTATTTTATTTATTACATATTTGGCTTAATGTATTTGTGTTTCAATTTTGCTATTGTTCCCCATACACAATCTATTTTTAGTAACACATAACTAACAGTACCACTGCACCCGTCATTCCAAGACAAAGTTCTTCTAAATCGTATATAAAATACAGTAGTGCTCACAATGCTGCTTGGCAGCAGAAATAGGTTGGGTGGCAGAACTTCACTCAAGAAACTCTTTACAAGGAGTCTCTTAACGAAACTTCCTTAATTAGCCTTTTTTCAGAAAATGAAGTGGGCTAATGTAAGTACATATTGAAATAAAACAAAAACATTGAATGAAAATAATAAGCTTCATCCATAAAACAGGGTTTAAGCGAAGGCCGCAACACACACTTCAGTAATTAGATAAAACATAAACTATCTATATTACATAGTAAGCAACATACCTTCGCTTGGAGAGAGACCTTCATTTGGCGTCTGATTATCGTTCCTTGCAGCATTTGGCACTTGAAAAGGGAATTGCTGCGCGTGAAACTGATAGTTGTTATTGAGCAACGGGACATTCGTAGGATTGTTCTGCATGCCCTGAAATGTCATCATGTAGTAGGGAAAACATGTCGAGAGGTTCTGGTAGATCTGTGCCTGCTGGATCCATAATCTCAGGGCCTGAAAATATGCTTCGCGTTCAGACACGGCGGTCCCATCACCGTCCGCCCCGCGATCCTGTCTCTCCTCTGTAGGTCCACTGACATCCACTGGCCTTTCAGTGTCCGACATGGCTGCGTATGCTGGTAAACAACATGAAACTAAGAATTTTTCAGGATTATTTGACGAAGTACACGTCAGGATTTGACGGAATATTGTTTTGATGTTCACAATTACGTTTGGAAATAAGAGGTAAAGTATATTAATTTCTTGTACTTCAAAATCGGCATAACTTGATCAATCATTGCGTTTAAGTAAAAATTACTTTTGTCTATCGTCATTATTCACATGGCGCGAAGGTTTATCATTTTCAATTTTTTTCTGCTTCTTTAGTGAATACAATAGATCGATGCGCACCAAGCAGAATGTAACCACTGGAGCGCACGGACGAGGTGACAAAGACAACAACTTAATTAAATCACGTAGTTATGGCTTCTATTTGGCTGCTGATGCAAAAACCGGCCGATTCCTCATGCTCCTACTGGTAGGAACACGAGGACTAATATGTCGCTATGCTCCTACTGGTAGGACCAAGCGGATAAATATGTCCTCGTACTCCTACTAATGTACTGTCACCTATATTTATATGTAATTTGGGGCACAGTCCAATGACCAAATAATACTTCTACGCCATTGACCTTAACATCAACCCGTCTCTTATAATAACAGTGATTTAGATTTAATTTTGCAAGAGGAAGAAAAGCATAAATGTAAAACAAAGTGTGTAAAAATTCATAACTGAGTATTCACTTTTCCTAGAAATGAAAAGCATTGTAGAAATTGCGTGTCGGTTTTTGGTAGTATCTGTATAATACCTTTTGGTATCTGTATTAATCAATGGCCACTGGTGATAAACTTCTTAGGTAACTCTATATGCTGTGCTGTCCCGATGTTTTCGTCCCATACAATGAAATGATCCTTACATGAAACCAAGTCGACCAGCACTAATAAAATTTTGATTAACTTTATTCATTTGTATGGACAACACACGCTTGGCCAAAAAAATTGAGTATGCCAAAATTGTTTTCACAAAAAAAACTTAGTGGTTCATAAGACAGTTTCCTTGGATCTTCTATAGTTTCTGATTTCCCCATAATGTCCCATTAAAAAAACACTACAACTGGGTAGTATATTATACCACTGCACATTGCCTGAAGGTACACTATAATGGGTTTGATAATTCATTACACTATAATTCATTACACTAAAACTCACATACATGGGTGTGCTATCTGCAATACTTGTAATGTATTTATTAATTCCACAAATGTTCAATTTTACTCAATGTATTTTACATACTACTACTTAATTCATATATATACATATATAATATTATGCTGTTACGCTTGGATACTACCCACTTAGCCTTAAGAACTTACAATTGCGTTTTTTTTATAATAATCCCGCACTAAGGAAACCCTGTATCGCGGGTGCCATGGACACAATCATAGACAATCACAAATTACACCCACACTCACGAGAGAAATAAATATAGGCCATACAAATATTTCTCCCGGCCCGGGGATCGAACCTAGGACCTCTGGGTGGCAGTCCGGCATGGTAACCGCTCGGCCACGGAAGCAGTTAAAGTTCGTTCGCGAAAAAGAGTTCGTTTGGATATTTTACCTGTAAGCATTATGTAATACAGTTATAAAATAAATAAATAAATAAACAAATCGAACCCCTAATTACGTTCTTCTATCGACACCTTTTGATAGTTTAAGGTAAGACTTATTAAAACACATAATTTGATTACATATTATTTATTGAAAAAGTATACATCAAAAAATGTTCGATGTAAAATTAAAAAAGAATGTGTGCTTTCATTACATTTCGTACATTCATATAGACAAGGTTCTTCATGAGCATGCATATTCACTGAATAACAAGGTAACAAAGAGATGTAATAACGGGTAAGTTTCGAAAATTTTAAATGAATTTTCATGCTCTCCCCGATCACAATTCAAGTTCGCGATCTGTCACTAATGGTCAACTTGAACTTTACAAAAATTGCCGCAACAACGCATATTATGTACCATTCTTTGTAAGGTATTTATTTACCTATTTCTAGCACATTAACATTTTACAGCCAAGAGGTATTCAATTCTGACTGTTAGCAACACTGTTCTTTGAGTGTTGCCAATATAGAGAGTACTGTAGTGGGGGATTTCTTTGAGTATTCTGCATGAGGAAAATTCAAATATAGCCTCTGAACTCTTTAGACAAATGACTTGTAAAATTGTACTCTAAACTCGTAGGCCATAAAATACCAAATGGCTGTGAATAATTCATAAATTTAATACGAATGATGTTGTTCCTAAAATCGTACGATCATCACCAAGTTTTTTAAGCTTTTATAAAACTGGTAACTCCGGTAACTTCAAACATGGTATAAAACACGATTAAGGCTTGAATAATGGTACGATTGTCATAAATACTAAATATTCCTAATAAATCCTTAAGTTTATTTCATCAAGCTTTTTAGTAGTGCAAGTGATATAATAACACTTCTCGCTGCTTAAAAAACTTGTGTGAAAGTACTTAGTAAAAATTGTTTATTCCCATTGAACGCTTAATAATACATAAATAATAGGATTCTACAGCAACAGAAATATTAAACTATGAAATAATGCATTGATACAATTATTTTATAAAACATCACTCTCCCTTTGCATCTTGGTTGTAAAATTAACTTTGGAACCCCGACATATAAGTTTTTTTTTTAATATTTTAAAGGTTATAAAAAACTTTAATATTTGATTTTTACTTTACAGGCGAGGTTCAATAAAGAAGATTTTGTGCATCATAAAGCGTAGTATACAATAAACATGCGACATAATTTACACTACTTACTGTACAGCGAAACAAATGTACAACGTTACAGAATGGATATTGTAAGACGTGATGTGTACTGGCCCTTGTTCTTTTAAGGGCATGCACTAGATCAGATGAACAGCGGATGCGTGTGACTTGCGTGACTCAACATTGTAGTATAGGTCTTTTAAAATCAATTCAATGACAAATACAAAAAGAACCCGATTTTGGCCTCAATACCAGTGCAAGGCATGTAAATGTTAACTGGTCATCGTTTTACCAGTACAACAACAGTACACAGTCTATTTAGAGAGAATCAATCTATATATAAAAACAAAACTGTCAATAAACAATGGAGACCATTTACAATATTAAAATCTTAAATTAGAAATGTTCTTTAAAAAAATCAAATTAGCAACAAAACGACAAACCGAAAAAGTCTAAGCAAAGAACGTTGTTCGATTAGGTTTTCATTGCGCATTATGGAAGTAAGAAAAATCTATATTTATAATTTAATTACAAAAACACATTTCAAACAAGTAAAAAATTTGTGCTCCATAAAATACAATAGAAATTCACATTAATGAACTGGTAACGTTGTATCTTGCATACTTATTACAATAAACTCCAAATAGAAGAAGCAGTTCAAGTTGTACGAAGAAACTCAGCACTGTTAACATAATAATATTCAAAGTTTTATAATTCGTCACTATTAATTTTCCTAAAGAATTTGCTTTAGGTCTAACACCATTCAGCAATTTTTTAGGAATATTAAGTATTAATATTGCTTGATAATTATATGCTTAGACTATACTGACAATTAATCTTAGGTTGCTCTGAATGATATCGGACCAAAAACGACGTTAAATTCTGTCTCGAAGGCCACAGACGGGGGGCTTTTGACCCATATGTCACGGGCCTACCCTCGCGACTAAAGGCGTATACAACTACACAACTACTAGCATAAAGATGTGAAAGTACAACTGTATGCAAGTTACTTGCGTAATGTGAATGCGCCATAATAATAACACCGAAACTACGTGGCCGTGGTGACTTAAAAAATTTCGTTCAGAAATTGTAAATATTGGCATGGCGCTTTTTTCCCTTCGCACAAATGGTCCGCGTTGCATGTAAAATTTAAAAAGTCACCACGGCTAGGGTACTATTGTTATACTCCCAACATGAACAAGTATACGTCACTACCGCCAGAAAGTATTTTCCTAAAGTACAAAACTTTTTAATCTATTAAATGCGTGATAGATAACGAATATTGTACTATATTTTACTACTCGACAATACTGCAAAAAGTGGTACTTTCACCCCCGTGACATTTTTAAAGGGGACGAGGTCGTATGCTTCGATAATCTTGTCGAATAATACTGAAACAAATAGCCAATGATTCCAATGAAAAATAACAATACGCTAAAATTAAACTTGTACTCGAATATTTGATCAATAGACAACTATTAAAATAAATTTTCACATACAATATACATCGAATATAATATATAAAACTCTCCATTACAGTAATGTGTTACAATTTGTGCACAATTATAGGGAATATTTCGAATAACATTTACGAATTTAACAAGTACAAGTGTATATTGTAAAAAAATTAAAGTCCCCAAAAATCATGCACCATTGAAACAAGAGGACATTCATTGGTCACTATAAAACTCCTAAACTCATTCGCGATGGCTTCTATTGAGATAACTTGTATTTTATCCACTGATTTCAGCGCCATCTAGTATTAATATTGACTTTTTTCTCAGTTTTTACGTACAGGCTAGTACCACTTGTTATATTGGTTCTTTCTGAAACGGTGCAAGTTCTTATATAAACTGTAGTTATAAATAGTGCAAGCATTTATATTACACTGTAATTACAATTATTTCCTACCACAATATCCCCAAAGTGTGTACCAATTATAACACAATAGTGAATCCTCTTCAACACATAATACACTGTACAGGATAGTTCATGGACAGATCGCACACGGCGATCACCGAGTTGTTGTGCCTGGTTTACACTATGCCAGTAACGGCAGCGTATTAGAATTATAGGTAATGTGAAAATAGCAATACAAACATATTTAAATTAACACTTGTAACGACGATTCTAAAGTCGGTATAGCAAATAAAAATGAGTTAATGGATAAATAATGAATAAATGAGTTAAAAATTACTAATTCAGAACATTACTGATTTACAAGGAACAGAAAATAGACAAGCATAATGCTCGAAACAGCAAGATGCTTATGAGCTGGTAAGTCTTGTGTCCTTTTATGAAGCCAGTTACTGGGCAGGTGTAAACGCGGCTTGACGAAATGCATGTGAATTAAAAGGCGCGTATTCAAGCGTCGCCGCCGTCGGCACCTTTCAGCCGCAGCCGCGCAAAGTCCTCGAAGATTATGTCATCGTCTTGCTCTTGGCCGTTCTCATCTCTGTGAAAAAAAAAGTTAAATTTATTGGTACAAGGTTTATTATCTTGCTTGTTATCTTGAACTACTTTTTGTGACAAACGTCGGCAAATTATTGGACAAAAGAGGTTACTTTGTTGTGAAAAAAGAGAAAATGGCCGGCTTTTGTAGTTACAGTTTTTATATATCAATAAATTTTTAGTTTAAGTATTATTTCGTTTTGAGTTTCATCTAATTGTTACTTGTTTATGCTGACAGCTCTATAGGCAATGCTCAACAAATAATACAATTATTTTGGTGTTTTTGTAACCATTGTCACTTACAGCTATCGCCAATGTTTATTTATTATTAGCGCATGCCTCTGTACTATGTTACAGATTTTCATTAGAAAATTTTCCATATAAAAATTGATCTTGTTTGCTGAAATGCCATCATAATGTACTCAATAATACGAATTCATCATTGCCTTTCGACGTCCCTGTGTGACGTTTGGATACATCCAGATTTTGTAAAATTGAATGTATTTGTTGAGAAATTTTCTCTTTATACGAACAGTAAGACATACATTTGAAAAATAGTTTATAAATTTAAAATGCGAAAAGAGACATTCACGGCAGAACTGGTTCCTCCCACTTAATACCGATGAGTCTCATTTGAAAGCTCGCCTGAATTTCAAGGTGAAATTTCAATTTCCTTTTTTCTGAAATGCGAAAATTTAAATATAGACAATTATTTTTGAAATAGTACAAGAGAGTATCAGACAGATTTTTCTGGACTCTAAAAGGTAAAACCAACAGAATTGTTGAAGTCGGACGTCAATGTTAAGTGGTCACGTGTTTGTTTTGTCATATTTGTGTATGACAATGGAGAATGCGCTGACATAAAACGTTGAGTACTTACGGCGGCGGGTCGAGCTGAATGAGGTCGTGATCGACAGGCCGCGGGGAGGGTTCGGCCACAGGCCGTGCCGGCTCCTCTTCCGGCTTTGGATGCATCAAGATGAATGGTAGCTCGGCGCTTAAGTCCCTGCAAGACAACACACTTATCATCGCCTTACTATTAAAACCTTCTACTAAGTCCACTTTTAAAAATTTTACAGGAATGGGAAAAGACCTTTAAAAAATCGATTTGGTATATGTACAAAATAAGATTTTGAAATTTATCAACTGTTGTCTCTGCAATCACGGCAGATATTCGAGGTATTCAACAGGTAACGGATTGAATATTTCTGCATATTACAAGCTGAAAAAGTAGATTTTGAAAAATAGCGTACTCAAAAAGTTTGTGACCGTCAGGATAGCTGGTCGCCTGTGGCGTCTGGCACTGAGTGTATATTCAAGTTTTTAGTACTTTACTGCCATAATGTAAAGGGCAGGCGTTGGCACTTGTTCGTAAAATTTTCAATCGGTTGTATTTTTTTAACTAATGTAGATAAGAAGCGTATACCTTTAATTCGTGAAAGTAGCAAATAGGCAACAATTATTGGTAATACATACTTCTGGAAAATCTGTTCCCTTCATGCTGCACAAAGTGGCGACCAGCCATCCTGATATCAGAATGGCTGGTAATTTTTTTTAAGTTCTCAGAATATATCAAAGGTAGCAATTATTTAGAGAAGGTAGCAAATATGTAGCAATTCTTGAACATACACTCAGCGCCAGATGCCACAGGCGACCAGCCATCCTGACGATCACAAAAGTTTTAATAGTAAGGGGATGTTATTAAATTCCTATCTCACCAGAGATAGAGTCTAGGGGGTCTACACCCGCTCTTCATCCGACATTCGCCCGAAACAATTACTGTCAAATAAGCAATACTCGATAAAATTACAAGACAAATGATGCCAGTGAAGCTTCATACTTGACATTGTCTTTTAATTTAATCGAGTATTACTTATTTGACAGTAATTGTTTTGGACGGATGTCGGACAGAGAACGGGAGTAGACGACTAGAGCACTAAGGAAGGTGGTCATTTTCGTCGATCAAACTTACCCGCCAAGTGGTCCAAGGCAGAGCTTCACTTTGACCTTATATTGCACTATGATACCTAAATTCTCACGTTGCGATGGATCTGCGATTCTGAAACAGTATATTTAAATTAATAATAAATTTCGAGTTTAATTAAAATTTTAGACCCTTGACAGTCTAGCTTCTACATTTGCACAGAGCTATTAATAACAATAATGTGTCCGACAACTACATCAATTATATGGTCTGAAAATAATTTCTGTACTATGAGTACTAAAGCAACGGAATTCACTCCGGGGCTACACCCAGACAAGAACGTATTTAGAGAAAGTTCATTCGTCGGGATTTCCTTACAGCCCACAGTGCAAACCGTTGGGTCACTGATGTCATCATAATATATGAACAAGAAATTATACACCGAAGTGAGTATAATTTATGATTGTTTTTTATACAACAAGTGGTTGTATAATCACTTCGTCGAATTAAGGACTAGATAGAATACGAAGTCGTCGCTTAGCACACAACACTGTTCAAGTAATTTTAGAGTGACCGTCAAGATGGCTGGTCGCCTGTTGCATATGGCACTAAGTGTATATTTAAGGACTGCTGCCTATTTCCTACCTTTTCTAAAGTCAAAGTCAAAGTCAAAGTCAAAGATTATTTATTCCATAGGTAAAATAAATTTACACTTGAAAACGTCACATTTAAGCTACTGCTCGTTCACTACGCTGACCTCCCTGAGAAGAACGAGCAAGAAACTCTAGGGATTGCTCTTTTCAAATAAACTTAAATGCTATGGAATACACTTTGAATCAAATTTGTGTGGATTCTGGAGCCATGTCGTCTTTCCATACATCTTTATCTAACACGTAGTCTTCAATTTTGTAATATGATTTTTCGATCAAAATATTTTTAATGTAGTTTCTAAACTTAGGAAATGATAAACTTAATATATGCTCCGGAATCTTATTGTAAAAACGTATACAGTTCCCCATAAAAGAGTTGTTTACCTTGGTTAAACGAAATCGTGGTACCATGAGTTTGGACTTAGCTCTAAGGTTAATATTATGGATATCTTCTTTCTTATTGAAATTATGTATATTTTTACGGGCATATAAAATATTTGAGTAAATGTACTGTGATGCCACAGTCATGATACCAGTCTCCTTAAACTTTTCTCTGAGAGATACCCGAGAGCCTAGACGGTACACAGAACGAATCGCTCGTTTTTGCAATACAAATATGGTTTGAATATCCGCCGCTTTACCCCACATGAGAATCCCGTAGGACATTATACTATGGAAGTAACTAAAGTAAACTAGTCTAGCAGTACTAACATCGGTAAGCTCACGTATTCTGCGGACTGCGTATGCAGCGGAGCTTAATCTGCGGGCCAGGCACGATATATGTGGAAACCACTGAAGTTTACTATCTATCTAAATAATTGCTACCTTTGATATATTCTGAGAAATAAAAAATAATAATTGACCAGCCATTCTGACGTCAGGATGGCTGGTCGCCACTTTGTTCAGCATGAAGGGAGCAGATTTTCCAAAAGTATGTATTACCAATAATTGCTACCTTCACGAATTAAATGTATACGCTTCCTATCTACATTAGTTAAAAAAGTATAACCGATTGAAAATTTTACGAAGAAGTGCCTGATTAAATTAAAAAAGCATAAGTTTTAGTGCTTTATTGCCATGATACAAAAGCGTTGGTACTTCTTAATAAAATTTTCAATCGTTTATATTTTTTTAACTTATGTAGAAACACTCAGTGCCAGATGCGACAGGCGACCAGCCATCCTGACGGTCACAATTTTAGAACAGAGTAAAAAACTTGCATATTTAGCGTATGCAAACATTTTCAAGCTATTATTAGTAAGGCTACTAACAGATTGATAGCATGTTTGCAGTTAATGCGTGAAAACGCAAGCAACCGAGACCACGACTGCATGAAGTTGATAACGACTTCACGCATTAACTACATGCAGTCGAAACCGACGGTCGAGGCTGCATTAAGTTGATTACGACTTCACGCATTAACTGCAACCATGCAGTCAATCTGTTAGCAGCTCAATAGGTGTTCTATTTATGGATAAACCTAATAAACCAATTATGTTATTTATATTATTTAATTTTTAACCGACTTCAAAAAAGGAGGAGGTCTCAATTCGACTGTGTGTTTTTTTTTGTATGTATGTTTCGCGATAACTCCGGTATTTGTGAACCAATTTTCATGATTCTTTTTTTGTTGGAAAGAGGGTATCTCCATAGTGGTCCCATTTAATTTTGAAGAAAGTCATCCACCTCTAAGGATGGCTGTTCACGAAGATGTAAGATTCATTTTTATAAATAGCGCCTAAATTTTATTATAAGGAGCAATTATTTTAATGGTTGATTTTGCTATTCTCCAATTCAATGCATTTTTCTCTCTCAATATACTTTAGTGAGAACTGATTTTTATTATCTTCTGTGTCAAGTCCCGTATAGTGGCGAACTAGGGGATATTTCAATAAAACTTGGCAAATAGACGTAATTCCACGTACTGTTGAGGTCGGTTTTTTAGTACTCTGTACTGAGATTATATGTATGTTGGTACGTGTAATCATAATACACATTTGTTTGATATTCAGTGATATTCGGTTTTTATTATTTTTATTATTATCAAAAATAAAAACCGACAATTTTGGACTTGAGCGGTGTATATAGTAAAGGTGTAAATTAAAAACTCACAGTGTGCTAGACGCAAGGTTGGTGTCTTCGTGTTTAAGTTGACCATCGAGCGCCAATCCCCATTTGTCCTTATTATTGGCGAGTAGAGGTGTCAACGTGAACACCTTGCTTAATGTGAACCCTGGACCGACCGGGCAACCTTCTCTGTAATACAAAATTGTCTTTATTAATATAAAATCGTTATAATGTATTAAGTGATTCGACGTCACGGTTTTCTAGTGAAAGTAGACAAATCAGTTTCCCAAACGAGTTTTCAATAGACGGCTGGTAGTCATGTTAGTCATATTTCTGAACGTTTCTAAGTCAAAGTTAGGTCACATTTCGAAAATGTCTATGAAAAATTACGCAGTACACAGTAACGGAGTTTGTACGAGATATTAAATATTGTAATGATTAAAGGGTTCAAATTTTTATTTCAACGGCACACATCTGTTTTTCGGTTAAAAGTAAAAAATTTGAAATATCTGATGCGAACAAATTTTTAGCACAAATTCCATCGAAAATGAGTTAAACAAAATATCAAAAAATAGTGTTCTCTTTTAGGGTCCAAACAAATAAATGTTGTTAGTATGTTGTTCTACAATGCGGGTAAATAAATAAGATATACAAGTAATAGACAACTGGACGAAGATATTCTACACAAATCACCTGTTATAACTGTAATAACTACAATTTTTTTCTGTTTACAATATCTTCTATGAAATTGGAAATAACTTGTACAGAAAAATTTAAACAAACGTCTATAACAACATTTCTAGTTACGTGACACGTACATGAAACCAAATACTGGCGTTACTCAAAAATTGTGGAATTGAGAAAACACGATTTGAAGTTCAAAAAATTACTGAAATATCCATTATATATAAATTTATGTTCTCGTTTATAAATTAATAACAAAATGTTATGTACAAATAAAAATAATCTCATTTTGTTTTCAATAAGATCCATTTACTAATTTTTGTTTTTGAACTTTCAAATCCTGTTTTCTCAATTCAATCATTTTTTAATTAGGATAGTATTGGTTTCATGTGCAATTGTATTAGGGACTCACCACACTTATCGACATGGAGTCGAATTAAGCCGGTCAGAAAAAGATTTATGTCCCTTTAATAAGAGTGAAAAAAGGACCGTAATCCATATTACATGGACATAAAACTCTTTTGGTCGGTCAAACGATTCCGCATTAATAAATGTGGTGACGCCCGTAATGTAACTTTAAAAATATCTAATGTATCATCATTAATATGTCTATAACCAATAAATGCATTAATACCCATATATCAAGGGATCCGAGGCAACATACAATATGTGTGTGAATTTTCATTAAATGAATTATCTACTCTGTGTATACGTTCCGGAACTTTTCAACTGTGTTATGTACCGGATTTGTGAAGAACACAAAACGTACGATATAATGAATGAGTTAGATAACTTATTTTACGAAAAGTTTAAGTTCTAAGTTCAGGAGGTTCATCTGGAAATTGATCTTCTTAGTATGGATGGATACGGGTATACGGCCCCAGACTCTTTAGCTAGTGTAGTTCTTTTCCTTCCCCACATCCATTACATCCCATTGTCTCATTTCTCACCTAGTCGTAACTTAATTACTTCCTCACACGTATTTTCCGCGAATCCATCTCACATAGTGCATAAAGTCTATTTCGACGAAAGTAACCCAATGTAGATACGCAAAAGTGTCTAGGGGTCTGGAAAAATTACAGGCTCGTGGTACTTATGACGTTCCTGGTGACGAGCGTAGTGGCAGTGCCCCTCAAATCTTTGTGATTTTAAGGTCTGAGTGGCACTACAACTGTCATTGACAGACGTGTCGCTTACCACCAGGTGCACGACTTGTTCGTATCATCACATTGTATGATACAAAAAAACATGGCGATTCAGCAAGGTATGGTGGCTGGCCTAGAGCGACGGTAAAGGGCATAGAATTACCATCAGTCAGACACATAATTTCTCCTCTCCTTCCCCTTCTGAGTCAAGTCTGGGGAGGAAGGACGAGCATGTGGGTTTGCGCACCTTAAAATATCCTGCGTAATTGACCGCTTGACCTGACCGCTTTACGAAAACTCACACACTTATTGTTAGCCCTAGACCCTTTGATATCTTGATCATTATCATATTGTTTACTTGTCCAGTCATCCATAAGGGTGAACACTCACACGCAAACACTTACTCACAGAGAATGCATTTGCAAGTTCTTACTGAACAGCCCAAAGAATGGGAATGTAAACTTTTTCTTCACCTTTGAATTTGGCTCCCTAAAGCAAAAATACATAATCAAATAATAATTACATGTTTTTGTCTGTGCGTGTATATAATCATGTGTATTATATAATATTGAAGTTTTATAGCAGAAGCGTACGCAAAGCAAATAAATTGTATATATATATTTTTATCAATGTGTTAAAAATAATGGCATAATAATGTCGCTGCATTCCAAGAATAGCGGTTCCTAGTTCATAGTTGGTAGTAAACATAGTAATTTTTTTCATTCATTAGGTAGATCATTCATCATTTATTAGGTAAATGTCACACTTATTAACGCGAAATCGGCTTGAGTCGGTCAGAAAAAGTTTTATTTCTGTGCAATAAGAGCGAAAAAGACGTTACACGTTTCGCTTCCGGTTGTACCGCCGACACGAAACGTACGTTTTTTTCACTCATATTATATGGACTTAACGCTTTTCTTGACCGGCTTAATGCGATCCCGATGTGGTGACTTCCTTATCAAAGATCGGAAGAGGCAGTGCATATTTAACTAAACTTCAAAGAACTAGTGAGGATTATATCTTCTTCTAACATCTCGCAATTATGGTATTTGTAACTAGCAATTACTTTGCTACACTAGCGTATTTAGTGTAGGTATTAACCACCTTCGTCCTCTTCATATGTAATACTTGAAATTTTGGTAAATGTACTCTGCCTAATTCAATCTCTGCTTATAGCACAGCAGTAGTCAGAACGTGCAAAATTCATTGCAAATACAAACCGGTAGCTTTCTATTGGTTAAAATAATTACGTGACAACATTGAGCTGGTATATGATTCGTCAGTTTTAAGCCATCAATTTACACATTGAAAACATCGAGTATATAAAGAGAAATAGAGACGCAACGTCATTTAATTTGATTGAAAACTATTCTGCCAAATCATTACGGTGACAACTGCTCTCCGATTGGCCAGCCCGAATTCGAAACAATTGACGGTTGTTGTCAATTGTTTCACTTCAAATCGACCAGTTTAACTTAAGTTTTGCTATAATGGACGAAATTTGCTAAATTATATACTTAATATTTAATTAACGATGAAGTGTGATTCCGTTTGTTTAGTAATTAGATGTTTTGCTGTTTTTCCGACACTACCAAATGGAACAGCTCCCATAGTTATAGTTATTATTTTTGTTACAACAAATACAGAATATTTTTGGAATATACGGAGACACAGGTCAGTTGTTGGCGCTGTACTATTTCAGTTTTCCAATTTGTGATTTCAACGCAAACGAGAGTTGATGAAAAATTATATAAGGCACATTTGCCTGATGAGTTAGTTGCCAGAGATGAATGGCACTTATTTAGTATCTAATTCTGGTTATACACTCGATGATTGAAAACGACATCGATAGATCCAAAACTAATGTAAGTTCTCAAAAACATTTTAAGGTCGGATTGGAATATTTTTAGTGAGCATCATATACCTTAGTACCTATACTTTCAAGGTAAAATAGTAAAGTTTCAGTTCTCGGACAGTAGGATAAGCAGTAAAAACTCTGTGGTGTGTTTAGTGCTGTGCTATTAGATAACACGAAGCTCTATAAACTATTCTAGTTTATCTGGGCGAGGTTACTGTTTGGACTTCTCGCAGTTTATATTTCATTGTTCTACTAAGCCGTATTTGTGATATTTAAGCAGATTATTTAAGGAGTCTAAATATCCGGTTTTTTCACTTATTTGTGACATTCAAAACAAATTTATCACAGATAAATTTGGTACACTGCAAAACTAAGGGTCGTATTCCAGAACTCTACTCAATGGTCAAGTCAGGACTTGAGCAGACTTGAGTATGATTTCAAGCACTGGAAATACGACCCTAATGGCAAGGACTTGAGTATGATTTTCAGTGCTTTAAATCATACTCAAGTCCTGACTTGAGCATTGAGTAGAGTTCTGGAATACGATCCTAAATGGTGTAGAAATATTAACTTCTATAAAGAAAGAAAAAAAAGACGTAGTTTCGTGACCAGAAAGGATACTCACTCGCTCTCCGCCTCTGCGACTGTACACTTATACTGTGCCGTGGAAAAGAGACATATGTCGGCGAACTGTCGAACTGACACTTTGATACGTTTCACCGATCGGTTGGAGTTGTTCGCTATGTGCACGTTCACGGCTATGTTCTCACCGTGATGATAGAGCTCCTGGAAAGTGACAAATTAACAATTAGACGCTTAATTCTTATTACGATTTCATTGTGAAGGACCACAGGTCGTGTTGAGCCGGCTTTCTATGGCCGGTGGGGGCACGAGCCACGCCGCGTCATCTCGCGCTAACGCGTCGCACAGAGGTGCATTGGCGGAAAAAGTATTTTGTATGAACATTTATCTAAACACATTTTATACACACAACATTTTACACTCCATAGGTACAAAAACTATAAAAACAAATTGCCAATAGTTGTACATTTCGTAGAAATACGAGACTAAATTTACCCGATGCAAACATAACCATTTTTGCTCAAAAACTTCTGTACTTGCAAGGTTTATTTTCAATTTAATTGAATAGAAATTTACGATACTTGTGTTTTTTTATAATGCCTAGAAATGAGTCTTGTCGGTACGCATAATAGTGAAAGGATTGTATATTTTTATTATTTCCCATTTACGTTTTGAAGAATGCTTAATTGAAGACCAATATTTTTTTTAATTTAAAGCTATTTTCTATTATCTTTTTACCGCCGTCTACATAAATCACTTAATCGATTTATTAGTCGGTCTTGATTAGACTTCATAAATTTATAAAATCATTTTTAGCTGCCACCAATTGCCACCTTGGATGTGAGAACACATCAACTAACTGCCCTCAACGATATATAATATAATCTAATATTTAAATAAATATTTTAAACGAAATATTTTCTCATTTGTAATAAAAAATATGAATACCGAAATTGTTAATAACGTATATTTTATTATCACAAAAATATTTATTTCATCATTATTTACCCTAAAAAACCAACAGTCTTGTTTTACTATAAAAGCATAACATTTTCCGCGGTGCCCTACAAAGTGCAAACACGGGTAGCACTATTCCCACGATGCTCAGTGGGTGAGCACGCCTGTGCAAATCGGCGCGGCCCGTGACAGCATGGGCCGTCGGAAGCCGCCTTTAGACTGTCATACTTGAAAAAAACTTCTCATTCTCATCTCCTGCGAAATTGGCACAACACAACGTATCTAAAAAACTAGTGATGCAACAGACCTCAGCTATTGCTTCCGTAACTGTGGAAGTTCCGTTCATGTTTTCACTTCTATTTCCGTTTCTGCCTCCGCAACTTTTATAACGGAACTTTAATTGTATGTTTACAACGTTTGCGATGGATACGGGGCGCGCGCAGATTCTTTGCGGTGAGGTGGGGATTTTTAGCAGTTTTGTATTGTGCAAAATGCAAATTGAAACCAAAAGCAAGTCCTGTTTGGAATCACATATTTCGTTGTAATCTTTATGGTTACATTTCCGCTTCCGTTTTCGCTAAGATTTACTTTTGACATCTGTTTCCACTTCTGTTTCTGTTATGACATTCCACCGCATCACTGTTAAAAACCTTCATTGAAATATTCCAAGTTATTTTGAAAACACTACTTCCGTGCATCCATTTCCGAGATTGCTGGGAACACAGAAATGTGCACAACTCAGTTGACACCTCCTCCGTTCTGTTACGGATAAAAACAACGTAACACGCTAAATAAAGCGTCAGTGAAGGAAAAAAATAAGTTCCTTTCTTACTTGAAATGTTTAAACAAATATCGATGACCTAAAAAATAAACAAAAAATGGAAGTAAATTAATTTGCTACTCCGCGAACCTAGCGGAGGTTGAATCGTGCAAAATGATTGCGTTTAATATTCAACACATGTACTTCCGCAAAGTAACGCCTGAATGTATTAATTAAATAATAAATATTTTAAACAACGCAAGTTATTCTCTTATAGGCAAAAAGAAGGTTAATAAATCTTGTTTACATAAACGTTACAAATGTTAATCCACTCACCTTATCTAACGACGCTTCCAAATAAAGTTTGTTAGGGCTCATCATGAACTCCTTAGACACCTCCACGGAAGGTTGTTCTCCTTGCTTGCTTGGTGCATACATTATCTTCCGGATTGCTAACCGCACCGAGTTTCTGCGGGTTAGAAACGATGGTCGTTTGTTATTTTATTATAACTTAACAACGTTATGACTTAAATTTTATAAGCACGGCTTCAAATAATATTAAACATACTGATTGTTTACAGATAGCTTATAAACTTAACATGATATAACTGTGATATTATACCAATCTCCAGAGTTATTTGTAATTAGCAGCAGTAGAGCGCGTTGTGAAAGAGTTCGTTCAGGGAACTATTTCTGGCGCCAAGCAGAAATGTTAGCATTACTGCGTTCCGGTTTAGAAAGATAAGGGTGCTGGTAAAATTACAGGCACATGGGACTTGTCAAGTTATGTTTCAGGGTGACGCGCGCAGTCAGATCTCTGCGATTTAAAGCTCTGAGTGACACTGCGACTGTTATGGACAGGCGTGTAGTTTACCATCAGGCGCACGACTTGTTCGCCCCGGCACTTGATATTAGGTTCTTGCTTGTATTAGGTTCTGTTATAAAGTCCCCCATACGCGTGTGCGCGGGGGGATTTTATATAACACCCAAACTTAACAGCGAAGGATTGTTGAATATGCAATCGAGAAGGACTCTTCACCTTGCGGGTTTGGTACACGGGATCGTTAAATACAAGCATCCTACTTATTTGTATAGCAAGTTGGAGTGGGCTACATATGCATACAACTCAAGGAGGATAAATAGTTTTATACTTGTCACACTCTATCATAAAACCAGAGCTTTTGAGGGAAGTTTTCGCTACCAGGCTAGTAAATGCTGGAATAATCTCCCATCTTCACTTAAATTTCCATTGTCAAAGATTGTTGTCAAAAAATACCTTAGAGCTATTTTGTTACAAAAGCAAAAACAGCTCTGATGGCGGTAGCTTTTCATAGTACAGAATTCGAGATGTAAACTAGTTATCTAGGTATATCTTATAGACCATCCTTGCGTGCTTCTCATGTACTGACACATTCATGTTTTATTATAATTTTATATAACATAATGGCGTATGTGGTACACTCACTATATGTATGTATATGTAGTATATCACCATGTTCTACATATTAATACTGTGAAAGTGCTAAACATATAATTATTTACTGATTTCTTCGTTTTTTGGGATCCGGTCGACGTCAGAACATATGAGGATGCTACGGAAGATCAGCGTCAGTCTCCAGACTAGCATTACGCTAAGTCGCAGCCTTTTCATGGTAGCAACACATTGTTTTTTATGTCAGTATTTTTTTTACTAATAATTGTAATTTTAACTGAAATTTTTCATTATTATTATTATTTTTATTATTGTTATTTCTCTTTCTAAATTTACATGTGTTTATTGATGTGTTGTAAACCGGGAATAAATCTTATTCTAATCTATATTATAAAAAATAAATACAACCTCGTAGGACTATAACTCACATCACAAAAACAACTTTTGTTTCATGACATTAAATAATCCACCAGGTTTTACTTTCGTATATAAAAAAAAATAAACAGCTCTTAACGATGATAACTCTGTGTGGTAATAAAAGACAACACTAGCGTAAGTACCAGTCCGATGCAAAACTCAGGAGCAGGGGTGGAGTTCGTCGGGGAGGACGCTTGCTCGTTTGAACTAACTACCTTAATACCAAATACAGACGTACAAGATCTCCGATAGTACAATAGAAACTCAAAAGTTTTGGTAAATTTATAAAGTTTTGTAAAAAAATCAAAAACAAAAATTCATGTTTATAATGTTAGTAATGTAGTCCTGCGAGAAAATAAAGTCGAATACGTTTAAAGAGCTTGCTGTGACTAGAATTGACTTTTGATTTTTGTCGCAAAGATTCCTAATAAACAGAATCAAGTAAGATATTGCCAAAATGCAATATCCAGCCAGTAATATCGCAATTTCGATGTCTCCTTCCCTTTTATTAAATATTGTTTATTTCGCAGCTGTAAAGCAATTTACACGGGAGCGTCGACTCATGTAATATGATTTTCTACCTCGATTTCGTTGAGCCTTGCTATCGTTTCGTAAAATTAAAAAGAATTTCTAGTTTATTAAGAGTATACAACCTCAAATGGCGTTGGTTGATTCCGCAAAACAGTGAAAGTGTTGATTCAATCATTTAGGAAAAACTGACTACTATACGGTGTGAAAACACAATTCCTTACCTCGTAATTTTACAAGGAAACTGCTGTATTCAATACTTTACATATACCAACGATTTTTTTCTATCAACTAAACGGAACACGTATGGTATAATGATATATTTTTTCAAATGGCTGTAATATCGTTTGCAAAAAAAATAAATTCTGAAACAAAGCCAGTGTCACTGTCGCTCGAACCTAGCAAAATGAACCGTATTAGTACGGGTAAAAGTTTAATTCGAGCTGAGGTAATATAGACTCTTAATGATATTCCTCAACATCAATCTACACAATCCTATAGCTATTTTTGCTATCAGCTTATGTAACCAGTCATTCTCGAGTTTCCTAAGTTTATGGGAACAGTGTTGTGGTGTGGTGTTTAACACACCACTGCAACTAATAATTGTTTATTTCAAGTAAATAAACAAATATTTTTATTTACGTTCTGTATCATATATAATTATGTATAATTGATAATTATGTATAAATATGTATAATTTGGAATAAATTTTACATGATTGTATTGCATTTTTAATACTTTGCATATCTTTCACATACATACTTTTAGTAGCAGGAAGCTAGCAGCTAGTAGTACTGCCACCTTACTTGTTTCTGTCGCCAAGCAGTAATGTCAGCATTACTGTGTTCCGGTTTTGAAGGGTAAGGGTGCTGGTGAAATTACAGGCACATGGAACTTGTCAACTTATGTCTCAGGGTGACGGGCGCAGTTTCAGTGTCAGATCTTTGCAATTTAAAGCTATAACTGGCACTGTAACTGTTATGGACAGGCGTGTAGCTTACCATCACGAGCACGACGTTAACGGTTTGTGACCTTGATTGCAATTTATCAACCGTTTACTTTTTTGTGTGATTGGAGGGTACATTTCCAAATTCAAACCTTATAGGAGTTCAAAGTTTGTACAGGAACTCCTGGGCAATAGTAATTGTTCAGTACAATTGAACCCTACATGTCGTACTCGAGACTTCTACGCTTTGAAACGAGTTCTTATTAGACTCGAGTCCGTGCTCCGATGACTCGCGCTCGACTCGACTCTGGACTCGTGACTGGTTTAGGTCATCGAGTCGTGTAAAATTGAGTTTAATTTATAAATGTAGACTTCCGGACTCGATTTTCTTACAACAATATATAGTACTTTGAAGTTACGACCACGTCTCTCAATGTAAAAACTGCGCCGGTCAGGCACATACATATAGATAATATTAAATTAAATATAAGTCTGTTTACCGTTCTTCTCTTCGCTCAGATAGCGAATTGAATCTTTTCATTCCTTTTCACCGTACTGGTTTTATTCCTAACTCATTTACTCTTCAGGCAATACGACACTGGAACGCACTGGCACGCCATATTCAAAAAGCTCCGAATAAGCCAGTTCTATATGGACAATATGTCGAATAAAATGTGTTTATACAGGGTGGCCCGGAAGTGCTGGTTAAAACGAAATGAGGAGATAAGGTTGAGTACTTCCAATCGATTTGACTACTAACTTACATTGGAGTCCGGAAGCTGATAGTTCAGAAGTTGTTCAACTGTTTGTGTTATATGGAAAAAGTTCTAAGTGCACCCCTAAAAAAATCACAAACAAATATCCAAAAGGACTTTTGAAGTGTTTATTTTTGCATTACGTTTCGGAGGTACCTATATATATCTTTTAGGCAGAACTCATTTCATAAAATGAGGATAACATATTATGTCGATTGATAGCCCTTCAGTGAACAATTTTCTGATCACAAAAAATAAAACCTTGTTTTCAAGAGAAGCTCATTAAAATAAAATGTACTACGGAGGAGGTAGATATATAGCAGAAAACACAAAAACTAGAGAACTTCATGCAGATATGCACATGCATGCAGGTCAGTGGCAATAAAGCTTCTTGTGAAAGAGTTCATCCAGGGTAGTACTGCCACCTTACCTATTTCTGCCGCCAAGGGTAAGTGCGCTGGTGAAATTACGGGCACACGGGACTTGTCAACGTATGTTTCAGGGTGACGGGCGCAGTGGTAGTGACCTTCAGATCTTTGCGATTTAAAGCTTCGAATGGCACTGCAACCGTCATGAACAGGCGTGTAGCTTACCATCAGCGCACGACTTGTACGTCCCGTCACTTGACGTTATAAAAAAAATAATTTAAAAAATACATCATTTATTGTCTGTAAGTAGAACTTCTCATAACAAACAAATCGGCGTATTTGGTGGCCTCGACGTGATACTAAGGAATCAATCATTATTTTAAGGAATCGGATATTTAATGAAATTACCTTTTATGTGGTTTATCATCTTGCGAATCTGCAACAAAGGCCTTGAGCTCGTAATCAACTCCGCATGGTTTCCCTGTATCCCCCGGCGCAGGCTGCAACGTCACAGACGCGGGACAGTGTGGTGGTAGTTCAAAGTAGAACGGATGCGCTGCCGGTCCCAGTTTCCGAACTAGACGCTCTTGTAGACGCGTTAGAGGCCGCTTTGGTGTACTCGTTGCTGGATATATCTGACAAAATCGTTTGATAAATTTATTAATGCCATATAATCTTTATTTTTGTTAACCGACTTAAAAAAAGGAGGATGTTCTCAATTCGACGGTATTTTTTGTATGTAGGTATGTTACGCGACAAATCATTGGAATTTGTGAACCGATTTTGATGATTCCTTTTTGTTGGAAAGAGTGGTACCTCAGTATTGGTCACATTTAAATTTGAAAAAATATTTCACCTCTAAGGGTGACAAACTAGGGGATGAATTCGTTTCGCGTACTTTTCAATAAAATTTGGTAAATAAATATTGTAACTCCACGAACCTTTGAGGTTGGCTTTTTAAAAAAAAAGTTATTTTATGTTATTGTATATCATGATGTTTTTTATTTTACTACCATGATATTCAATTATATTTTTGTGAAAATACTGCACTACTTTGTTTGAAAAGAAAAATTCATTCTATGCGACTGGACTCGAACCAGTGTCTGTTGCCTCACCGTGGCTATCGTCAAGTTGGATCAATCACGCTCAGTTAGTAAGAGCGGTACATATTCTGTTTGTTCAATTTTTATATTCTATAAACACATATAAATAAGTCCTAATTTTTTAGGTATAATGTTAAAACTACTGTTGGGTAAATTTTCTGACAAATTTCAGTTAAAATTTTTCCTGAAAAATTCCCGAAAAATGAAATATAATTTCGAAGGCTCCTATTAAGTTCAAGGTTTAGAAAACCTTTTGAAGTTTTATTTAGCGTGAATTATAAAATAAACTTGTATAGCTAAAAGCCACCTATAGAAAAACGAGATTTAAAATTGTTTCACAACAACGAAAAAAAACCTTTTTAGTGGTTCCATCGTTTTCGTTCAGTAACTTCAACATTTGACAGGTGTCAGTGTCAAATGTGGAAAATTATTTGAAAAAATATGATTTTTTCAGAATGGATATTTTTCCATGGCCAACACAACAGCTGAATTTTAAGTTTATTTCAATAATTATAACTCAACAATTCCTAACGTACGTATTTATTATGAGTAGTGAATTTAATTGAAACACTTTCATTTCAAATTATTCGTTGGTTGCATCCCGCTTTTCAGCTCTTAAATTTCTATCCTAAGGTTGCCTGGAAGAAATTTATACTCAGCAATAAGGCCGCCTATTATATACAGCTTACTCTGTGATACTTACAATACTGCTCTATGTTGACATTGTAGTTTTTTAATGTGCAATAAAGAATATTTCATTCATTCAATACTTCGAAACATGCATTAAAGGCGCAAAATGACTTAAAGCAAATTTTGGGTGCAATAGGTGCAACTCACTTGTTCAGCAGCAAGATATAAATCTTTTCGGAAGGTAAGGCCGAGAACATCGAGGTCTTCCCGCCCGTATCTGAACGCGGCCAGAACATGGCCGAAAACCTTTCTCTCTTTGACGTATTCTGGGTCGATTAGTACTACTCCGTCTGCAATCACAACAACACAATGAGACATTGTCATTATTAATGCTGAACGGTTGAATTGTCTAAAAAATGATAATTATTTAGGTGCACTAGGGGAGTGGACAACGAGACGGTGGCTGAGAGATACGTATGGAAGAAAAAATCATACGCCTTTCCGAAATAATAATAAAGTGCCAGACGACCGCATTAACTGGTCCCAAACTAGGGAATTCCATGTACTATGAGTACCAAAGCAGCGGAATTCACTCCGAGGCACTACCAAAGAACACCCAGGAAAGAAACAATTAAAAAAAGTTTATTTCTTAAATTCGACCTACAGTGGAAACTGTTGGATCATCGAGGTCAACGTTCGTATTTTCAATGTATAATAAGACAAGAATGGTAACTCTATACAAAAGTACCAGCGCGGCTTATATGTGTGCACGTCCCCGCCACGCGTCGTGTTTGGACGCACACATTCGCATAATCTCGCGGTGCACTCGCGTGGCATAACGCAGGTCGTAACACGCGCCAATCATTACGTTCGATGTTTAAAAAACATGATATCAAAGTGTAGACGCGTTTTTTGTTTGTTTTAACACAAATTGAGCATTGTTCAGCATTTCATTTTCATTTCTTTCATGCTCCCCATAATCGAGATACCAATACGCGACGATACGAAAGTTGATAAGTGCTGCATTTAACAAAGATGCCAAAGGTAGATAACAAAGGTGCCTTATAACACGAGAATCCTGGGATGAACACTTTAGTTTTTCTAATTATGTTCCCAACATAAATTGAATTCTTAGGTTTTCGCGAATATTACACGCAGGAAAGGAAACTTTTTTTTCAGGTCTAAATCGCGTATATTTATTTTTCAAATAAACCAATGTTTCGGGCCATAAATAAGCAGGTTCGATCGATTTAGACCCGCAAAAATAATAGTTTCATTTCCTATGTTTACAACAACCAAAATGTGACAACCCTACGCTCCGAAACGAAGTGTAGGCATCTATGGGTCGTATTCCAGAACTCTACCCAATGCTCAAGTCAGGACTTGAGCAGACTTGAGTATAATTTCAAGCACTGGAAATACGACCCTAATGGCAAGGACTTGAGTATGATTTTCAGCCTCATTGCAATACTAAGTCCTGACTTGAGCATTGAGTAGTTCTAGAATACGACCCTATGAGTCGAACAGGCTGGAGTTGTCCTACTGATTTTATTGTACTATGATATTATATTTAATACTGCGTAGCACCCTGTGCCTGTCACGTTAAGCTCATTATATTATTATAACATCGTTACTGTGGTCGACTGGGAAGGTCGGCAGTTACTTGGGACCTGGCCCACTCCAGTAAAAAAAAACAATTTCACGCCCGAAATTGGTATTCGGTTGAATAGGATTTATTCAATTAATTGAATAAGTTGAATTGAATCGAAAAAATTGAATTTCAAGTAATAGAAATGGAACAATTCAACATTCAGGTACCTCTGAAAGCGTCAAAATCCAGGAACTACGTGAACAAACGTTAACTAAAATGTTTACTTGTTGAACTTCACAGTTGGTTCTGGGGAAATCCGCTAAAATTCTTAGTTCACTAGATATTGTGGAAATGGACTTTTTCACAAGTTGTGTAAGTTGTTAAATGGAATTACTTATACATAGTATCTTCGACTGGAGTAGTCCTTTAAGTTCTCCCTTAAAACGAGAATTAATTTGATATTGACTGTGAAATTGGAATTTCAAACTTTCAAAGTGTTTCGAAACCTTCTGGATGTTACGGCATTTGACAAGTTGCGAGAATTAAATGTTTGTGGATAATTTGGTCTGTGGATGATAAATATTGCAAAATGGATCAATTGAACAGTAGTTAAAGAGAAATTTGCGAACAATGGCATGTGACGTCATAGCATTAAGGGCACCAAACAAGATACATGCTAATGATCGTTTTGCAAAAACGGTACAGAACGTCTCACTAACCGCTGACTTTTATATCATTGATGTTAGTTGAAATAACGAAAAACGAATTTCAGACCCATATTCAGCAAGTCTTATGTGAGTTTATTGAAGTAATAACATTTTACGAGAGCTATATTACGTATTAGAGTTGCGACGAATATTCGGTTACTATTCGATATTCGGCTTAATCGGTCTGTTTTTTTTCTATTCGACCGAATACATAAAAACAGGAAAGAGAAATAAGAGAAAACACAGTAAATTGTGCGACTAATATTAATGACGAGCATATATTTCAAATATTTTAAAAGGTCAAAGCAAATGTAACATACATAACAAATAAAACGAAAACTTTCATTATGTACTTTAGACATGACTAAATTAATGCTAACAAAATCAACCCTGTACTTATTATTCGCAAATCAAAATAAAATATTATTTTAAAGTGAATCAAAGTGAAGTGATATAATTATTACATTCTTCATTAAGATGACATAAATTATAAACTTGAATACCAAATTACTTTTTTGTTTCATAGTTATAAATTATTTATCATAACAAAAGTAAATAAGTTGTATTTTGAGGGTCAATTTCCGCATGCACGTTAGTCAGGCCGAATAGTTTTGCCGAATATTCGGTCCGAGGCCGAATATACTACTCGTTGCAACACAAGTATATAACATTCCTGAATTGCTTATAGAAAATAAATAATCCAAAAGATACTCACCAATCGGGTCTACATGTGTGATGTGGTCTACAAAATCTCTCTTCCCTAAATATACTGTAATCTGAAACCAAAATTATTTCGTTGATAATTTTTTATGTGACGCGTAACAGTGAAAACTATAAACATGTAACCGATTTTAAGGTAATATCGTGCCTGGCTTCTATTAAATTGAATTTTGAAAAGTTTACTTTCACCTTTATTTTATTTACTTATTACCTTTTATTTTATTTTATCTTACAATATCGACTTTTTAGGTATTTTTCACGATTGCTTCATATTGGATATGAAACCGTAGTATGATTTAGTAGCAATAGAGCTCCTTGTGAAAGAGTTCGTCCAGGGAAATACTGTCACCTTGCCTATTTCTGCCGCCAAGCAATAATGTCAGAATTACTGTGTTTCGGTTTTGAAGGGTAAGAGTGCTGGTGAAATTACAGGCACATGAGACTTGTCAATTTATGTCTCAGGGTGACGGGCGCAGTGGCAGTGTCCTTCAGATATGTGCGATTTAAAGCTCCGAATGGCACTGCAACTGTTATAGACAGGCGTGTAGCTTACTATCAGGCGCACGACTTGTTCGTCCTGTCATTGATATTATAAAAATAACCTTCTTTGTAGTTTAGAATAGGGTGGTTTGCATAACATAACTATTTGTTGACTAATACTGTCTCAGTCAACCATAACTATGGGACTTGTAAAGATTCCGAAGAGTTGCTTTGTTTTATCGTAAAATTATGACTTACGAATATAGATCATTTTGATGTTGGCGTACCTGGGGCTCTACTCCGGTTCTCCATCCATTCGAAACAATTACTGTCATAGTGTCATGTTAATATGGTCATGGGGAGAGACAATATGTCGCCAAAGTACGAACATATTAATAATAATAAAAATAACGCACACACTCATAGCCCCGCGCTAGGGAAACCCTGTCGCGGATGCCATGGACACACACATAGATAACCAGAAATTACACCCACTAGATAAATAAATATAAGCCATACAAATATTTTTCCCGGCCCGGGAATCGAACCCGGGACCTCTGCGTGGCAGACTAGCATGGCAACCGTTCGGCCACAGAGGCAGTTCAAAGTTGTTGAAAGTTGGCATATCAAAAGGTAATTTACCTTGCCATTTGGTGAGCTCTTCTTGAAGACCCTGGTGGCCTGCCGCTGCTTGTTGCTGCCGGCGTCGTCCATTCTGCCGCCTCGCCCTCCGCACCACTGAAATATCCAAACATTAATATCTCATACAAATAGTACGTGGCGTAAATGTAATTTTATGACCCGTTTCTGATGTTATTATGATCTGATCCCGATAGTACTCGTATAACGTATATAGCGAACAAAACTGACAAGGGATTAACAATGGTTTCGAGAACGTTAAAATCAAATTACCGTAAAGTGGGACTGTCTGATTGAGATTATGGGGGCAATTGCCACTAATGTATTCAGTCGTACATTCCATGTCTGCGACTATTTGAACACATACTGACAGAATAGGTATCTAATATTAACGTGAATAAGCTAACTTATAATAAAATAACTTTTGCAGATTTTTTAATGAATAATGACGCAAATTAGGCTACAACCTCGCCTGAATATAATTTACATACTGAGAGACGGAATGAAATCTAATTTATGTAACGAAATAGAATAATGATCTTTATGTCAACTTTATATGGCACAATATAGATACGATAGCGATAGCAGCGAGAATTCCCGAGACTACGCAAGAATTCTCTGGACAATGATAATAATAAATTTTATTAGCAGTAGTGTAATTTACAGAGATGTAATATACAGTATGCAAATTTATATTAAATTTAATATTAGTACAAATAGTCTTTGAAGACATTTTGAGTATCAATTTAATATCAAACTACATAGGTATACGTTTGCGGTCAAGGTATGCTAGAACGGAATAAAAGCAAAATCAGACGACAACCATGCGAATAACCTTCTTCTTAACATAATATTTAAACATATATAGGTATCGTCGCTTAACAAACAACACCGCTTAAGTAACTTCAAGTAATTTTATAGGAGCGTGAAAAACCTGCATATATTAATGTATAAAAGGATTTTTAACCTATTGTTAGTAATAGTAATTTAAGTGCCTCTGTGGCCGAACGGTTACCATCACTGCCACGCAGAGGTTTCAGGTTCGATTCCCGGGCCGGGAGAGATATTTGTATGGCCTACATTTATTTCTCTCGTGAGTTAGGGTGTAATTTGTGGTTGTTTATGTGCGTGTCCATGGCACCCGCGACACAGAGTTTCCCGAGTGTGGGGCTATGTTGAGCGTGTGTGTTATTATTAAAAGAAAGACAACGGGAGAATAGGTTAAAATTACTAACAATTACTACTACTACCAACAATAGGTTAAATATATAAAACAATAGATTGTACAGCAAGTGCATATAACGCGTCATTTTATCAGAGACGAAAACATAAGGCGAGGTAAAATGGGTTTTATGAACGAATTATACATTATATATATAAATTAAACAGAAATATTACAAATAGACGATTATTTAATTAAAATTGAATGTAAAATTACAACAATTAAATATTTAATGTGATTTTTTATTTTATGCACTAGAGCATAAAATAAAGTGTGCACACAGCCCCACCAACTGTGGGGCTGTGTGCACAGGATCAATACGTGTGGCGGTGGCGACAGCGTCCTCTGTTAAAGATAATATTAAGATAATATTCCACCTCTAAGGGTGACAAACTAGGGGATGAATCCGGTTTCGCGCACTTTCCAGTACATGATTTCAATAAAACTTGGCAAATAGATGTAATCCCACGAACTTTAGGATAATAAAAGTTATATTTATTATTTTAACTGGTACAGTAAGTCCGTCCGGGAACCTTGTCTTGAATGAAGGCTCATAAAATGATGACACTTGAACAAAGACGGATTTTATTTTACAAAAGTGCATTATATACATTCCAAACATATAAGCGAGAAACTGTCAGTAAGTTTAATTTTAAATTTTTCTAAAGGGATAATTGATTGAATGCAGCGGACTCTTCTAGCAAGACGCGTGTTCTGTTTTTTGGCTCTTCTACAACTGAGTTCATTATGTTATAATTACAAAAAGTTCGCAAAAATTGCAGCAAGGCAATATAAATCAAGCCTAAGCGACGTTGGTACACGTTTGTGATAGTGTTTTACATGTTTGGATGCAATAACTTCAAAACGGGTTTTGGGTGCCGAACATCCTTGTTGTTCCCAATGCTTCAATTTATATCTTAAAAAAAATCTGATTCTTGTCCTATTCTGAAATTCACACTATCTGACTACGGCAATTAGATTGTACATATACCGGGACATCGCCCTATGGAACCTCCCTTGCAGACTGTAGCAATCAATTTTCATTAGCACAGTAATAGGGTAGCCCTTGAGGAAATAGCGGTCTTGTGAGATCGATGGCTCTATGGAAGAGTGATAGGCCTCCCTCGAGAACATTGTATTGGAACACGAGTAAATAATCGTCAGAAAATTATGAAGTCTCGTTAAAACAGGGTAGCGCTTTGAGTTATGTTCACAATAATTTATTTATTTATTTAAACTTAATTGCACACAAAACAGTACAATAGCGGACTTAATGCCATTAGGCATTCTCTACCAGTCAACTGCTGGGTTCGAAATAATCAACAAGGGGATATTATATGACTGACTATATACTTATATGAGCAACCTATATACACATAAATACAAAATATATAATGCACATATATATTTATATATAACAATGTCAGACTAATGACATGTAGATTGAGACTCCGATATACGCGGACTAATTGCTTGAAAGATGCTTATTCGGCGGTTTTTGAATATTGGCAATAATAAAAGTGACGTACATAGATGATAGACGTTGTTGATTATAAAGGATTTTTTATTAAAAACGCGATCAAACGCGTTCAAATGACCTCGTTCTCACTTGGAGTGGAGTGACGAGGAGGTCGACGATAAAATATGCACATAAATGATGCCTATTCACTCTCGCTTGAAAAGGCCAAGTTTTACCGTTTGGGCACAAGCCTGCAGGCAGTCGTTTTTAAGGGTAGTAGATCCAAGGAACTACTGCTATCTTACCTATTTCTGTCGCTAATATAAAAGTCTAAAAGAAAAAAAAAATTTTGTTCAAAGTTTGTTTGTTGTTGTGTTGCAATCTTTGGAGTGTCCATAATATAGGGGTGGAACCCAAGCAAAAAAAGAAATTGTTAAGGAATTTGTGGTCCTTTTAGACAAGATCATGGAATATAATTTTATTTAGGGACAACATATTAATATACCGTTTCTTTTTATTAAAACATTTTTTATTATATAGGGTTGACCAAAAACTACGTGCAGCTCTAAAGTATAAGAAAAGATAACTTAAATAAGAAACATTAGAAAAATAAATATCAAATTAATCAATAATGTATATAAATATATTTTAGTATATTAATCAATAATATATATAAATAATGGTCATGTTGATCTACAATCTTTTTCTATTTTTCGAGTATTTTTGCTAATTTCATAAAATGTCATGTAGTTTGAAAGTCGTGTCCGTTCAAAGAATTATGTATAAACCAAAACAAGTGAAAATCTAAAGGGGTCAGTCGTGTACGGTGGATGAGATAACACATCCCAAGTCCCAACCTAAACTGCAATAGTTTTTTACGGCTCCATAAAGATGTATACGGTTCGGCATTATCTTGATGAAATACGACACTTTTACGATTCACGGTGCAGTTCTGGGCGATTTCATTAATCATAAACTTAAAACATTCTCGAATATTCTTAAAATGAGCGTTAAAGTAAAGTTTTAGGAAGTAGCAGAGCTCCTCGTGAAAGAGTTCGTCCAGGGAAGTACTGCCACCTTACCAATTTCTACCGCCAAGCAGTAATGTCAGCATTACTGTGTTCCAGTTTCGAAGGGTAAGGTTGCAGTGGCAGTGCCCCTCAGATCTTTGTGATTTAAAACTCTGAGTGGCACTGCAACTGTTATGGACAGGTGTGTAGCTTACCATCAGGCGCACGACTTATTCGCCCCGTCACTTGAATTATAAAAAAAACATTCTTTAAATGAACGTAGACAATGTAAAATTCTACAAGGAAAGAAAAATCTTTTTTGTTTAAAGTTTGTTACTGGCAAAAAACGCACGAACTTTTTGTCAAACCCATTATTAATTAACGGTGACTGTGACCGTAAAAAGTCTTAATAATGGGATACATATTACGTATATTATGCTGTAGTGAACAATTTATTAGTTATTTTTGATACAAGTGCGGAAACTTAGTCATTATTCATGAGTCTCGAGGTTTCAAGACTCGAGACAAGTGAAAATGACAATTCCGCACGTGCATCAAACGACGTTTTTTAATACATTTGCGAAAAAACTATATTGAAAGTAAAATAAAACAGTATATTTTAGTGGTGCGGCGCGCAACGGTCTCGCGTAATACTCATCTCCGGTCATTGTTAATGCCTACTCAATCAGCCATCTTTATGGAAAATATTTTGGTATTTTTAAATGTAACCCGTAGTTTTATAAAACACCTATGCAATTTAAACAAATAAGATGTTTGTAAGTAAATATAAGTTTAAATGACGAATGACTTACGTCACAAAGTACATAAATATTAAATAAATATACAACCTCTTTAGTTCTATGTTTAAGACTTGAAACAACAGTAAATAAAAAAATAATCTCAGTACAGAGTACTAAAAAATCGACCTCAAATGTACGTGGAATTACGTCTATTTGCTAAGTTTTATTGAAATATCCTTTGATTCGCCACTATACAGGACTTGACGCTGGAGATAATAAAAATTCGGTTCTCACTACTCAAAGAATATTGAGAGAAAAACGCCTTGAATTGGAGAAATCGTAAAATCAACCATTAAAATAATTGCACCTTAAGAAAATTTAGGCGCTATTTATAAAAATGAATCTTCATGCGTGAACAGCCCCCTGAGAGGTGGATGATTTCCTTCAAAATGAAATGGGACCACTATGGAAGTACCCCCTTTCCAACAAAAAAAGAATCATGAAAATCGGTTCACAAATACCGGAGTTATCGCGTAACATACATAAAAAAAAATCATACAGTCGAATTGAGAACCTCGTCCTTTTTTGAAGTCTGTTAAAAAATGGAAAAGTAAAAACCACTAGTGCGAAAAATCCAACTTTGGGCACGATTTGTAGTACGAAAGATACCACGTTTTGAGCAACTATATTAAAAAATATATTAAGAACTTAATTTACATATATAAATCTTTGTACTAAACGTCTAGAGCAACCAAATTTAACTCTGGAGCACTACTTAGAGCACATAGACTTGAAACAATTCAAACAATTCGTTTCCCAATTGTTCATATCGCGAATCGCACCCGGGGTCTCGTCATGTAGCCCCTACAGTGCTAACCGAGGTCACCTAGAATACTACATTGAAAAAGGTACTATTTTCGTTTTTTAAAAAAATTGAGTTGCGCATACTATTGAAACGGAAGCGAATCCTGTTACTGAGAGAGAGGTAGTAAAAAAGGAATATAAATGCCTAAAAGCAACTTACGTAGACCTTTGTAAGGCTCCAGGGTTCGCGTCACCGCTGAACACTTATTGCGCCCCGCCGCCCTGCAACAACAGAGAAATTCTATTAGGAAAAGTAACACTAACTATTTGCAAATATTGGTACTTCAGCTAACAGTGCGAGTTCCAGGCCCCGCAAAATGAAATCAAATGTTTTATACAAATAGAACGGTGGTAGCCTGGTAGTGTGGTTTCTCAATAGACATATTGAACGAAAACGTTGAGAATATATTATTATATAATCTGCATGCCGAAGAAAGTTCACTATTAAGTTTCAAAAAGCCGTTGAAAAACCAAATACAAAGATACGACGCAAGCACATAAAAAAATTCGTGAGATCCGCTGGTTCGCTCCGTGGCTTAGTTAGTATAGCGTCTGCCACGGTATGCTAGAAGACGTCGGTTCGAATCCGGCCGGATCGAAGGAATCTTTTTTCTGAGTGTTGGATCTTTGTATTAATAATTATAACGAACTAGTGGAGTAATTTCACATAAAAATAATTGAAAATCAATTCAATAAAAAATTCAGTTCACTATTCTTCGGGAACGTGTGAAATCCCCTAAACGCATAGGGCCAGTGTGACGGACATTTTTTTACGATAACTAGTGATGAGACGAACAGTTGTGAGCCTGGTAGTTACGCGCCTGTGCATGACAGTTGCAAGCGCAAATAAGTGATTTATATGAGATGTAGTCCCATTGTGCCTGTAATTTCACCAGCGCCCTTACTTTTCAAAACCGTTCCTCCCTGGACGAACTCTTTCATAAGGAGCTTTACTACGGATTTTTTTTTACTTTTTTCTTCCCCCTTTGTTTTTTCACAAATGCATAACTTCAAATGCGTGTTTGACAGCGGACAAAGTACTAGCGATAAAGTTTACAAAAAAAAAGAAATGTATAAAACATTTATCTAACCGAATATCTTGTTTGTTGTGACATGTTTCATTACTGCATAGGTATCGAGTTCTTAGGTTTTCTTCACTATTGCACATAGAAAATCATGATGATGAAATGATATTTCATGCCTGGACAGCTCTTAACGTAGAAAGCACAAGTCCGCTCTTGCATGGAGTATTGCAGTCACCTGTGGGATGACTCAGCGAAGTATCAACTTGAGGCTCTTGATTTGATTGAACTCATAGACAGAAGACTTATTGGCGACGATAAGCTTCAATCTAAACTTCATAGTTTAATCCAACGGCGCAAAGTTGCTTGTCTATCGGTTTTCTACAGAATTTCGGCCAGTGCGCGCATGAGCTCCATCAACTCATCCCGCCCGCCCCATTTTACCGTCGGATATCCAGCCGTACGGCGGGATATCATACTTGGTCGACACTCCCTTCACGCTTTTCATTATCTTTTATTATGCGCGCAGCCCTGGAATGGAACTCCCTGCCCACGACTGTGTTTCCGACCACATACAACCCGGGTATCTTCAAGGTGCGACTAAATAGGTATCTTCTGGGCGAGATCGTTCCATCGTAGATCCTATCTTGGCTCCAGAGCATAAGTAGTGCCCAAGAGCAAGTCCATTTTGTTTTAAAAAAAAAGAAATAAACTTTTTTTCGGATTTATATTGCTTACATTTGTTACATATTAGTAGTAGGCTGTATTGGATCCCAGAGTGTTTAAATCCTCTCCTTAGAGGAGACCCGTAACCAATAGTGGAACGTATAAAAGACGATGAAGACAAAATGTTTAAATGCACTTTATACAAAAACGGAACTTATGATTTCTTTTTTGCAATGTGAAAGTAAGTAGTAATAGTACAATGTGTTAAAAGAGCGGTAAGTAGGCAATTACGAACAAAGGGACATTCAAAACCCCTTAGGATCGGGTTTTGAATAGAGGGCTTTAATGGTCCGAACGTTTGTAATTGCTGTTCAGTCCGTGTGCCATACAAAGTTTGTCATCACACTTCTGAGGAAGTTTCAAAAGGGAAAGCTATAGTTTAAAAACGATATATGTAGTTTGTTCATATTTCAAAATTTTGAGAATTGCATAAAAATGGAACTTTGATGTTACTTATGAATGAAACAAAAAATCTTTGCAATTTATTTATGTATGGCATGGTCACGTTGAGTATGTATCTTATAAATGTAATATCGCCAAGTGTATAACGTGTGTAACATATATATAGTATTAGTTTTAATATATAAAAGCACAAGGTACACGAGAGCGACACAAAGCGAGAAACACTGCTGGTTTCGCATAAACGTCTCGCGCTTAATGTCGCTCTCACGCAAGTCGCGCGCTGTCATGCTAGCCCTTCTGTTGACACGATTCGTATTTCAGTTGGCACATATAGCCACGTTGAGGTGACAAACACTGGTTCCGGTCCAATTGGATCGAAGGAATTTCTTTGTCTTTGCTTAATATCTGTGTCAATAATAACATTAGATCGTCAAGTTGTGAGTTCCTCCAGCTGAATGGTTTTAAGGCATGAGCGCCCAGTTACACGACGCGAAAGTTTTCGTGCGGCCGCCGCGCGGTAATCGTCCGGCTACCACGCTTTCACGTATGTAACGCTTCACAGAGAGCGGGTGCGAGTCGGGTGCGGTTCGAGTCGGGACCGCGGCGCGTCTGATTCCGTGTATTTATATGGATGATACTATACGACGATGCTAATATAGCGTATATTTAGCAATAATAGTTCGGCCAATAAACACGTGCGCGCGATGAAATTCGTGCCAAATAAACGTGCCCTGAACCTACCCAGGCTTAGTTAAGCGCGGTCTGACGGCTAACGTTTAAAGAACAACATCTATTTACTAAACAATTGTATATAGACCCAGTAAAAAGATATGTAACAAACACGTAACGAAACTCGTAAGGACTAGTAAGTTAAAACCGGTCAGCCAGTCAAATCGAAGAAGTTTTTCTTTGTGTTCGACTTTTGTATCAATAATGACAACTAGTGGACTATTTCCACAAAAAATATATGAAAATCATGGTAATAAAATATCACTACATTCAATGTTTTCCTCCTACTTTAGAGGGGTCTCTATAGTAAAAACTTCGCCCGTTAAAAATATCACAAATCCTTTTATGTCGCGCTGTATTAGCAATCGAGTGGACCTATTTGAATATTTCTTTAATTCATTTTTTTAACGGAAAAATATTTACTACTTGTGACTTCCTTGACGTCAGGCATGTTATGTGCAGCTACCCGTTTGAAGGACTGGTGGGTGCAAACTGATAGACTTTCTCTTTGCGTTCTTTTGTTCCGCTAAATAAAGAAAGACCACACCAGACTAATGTGGTTCGTTCTCGAATACGTATTCTCTGCCTAATTTCCGTGGCAATGTTTATATGAGTATTCAAGTATTATCATGAAATATTAAATAATATTTTACGCTTACATACTTAATAAATAAAAAATAAAATAAAGTAAATCGGTCATTTTCAGGTTAGTGTTCTTTACATGTTTTTATAGTAAAATAAGCTCATAGTCTTCTAACGTAATAATTACAAAACATGGGAGAGAAAATATTATTTAAATATCTCTAATTACTACCGAATAAAACCGATCTTTCCGTAGATGCATATAGTAAAATTTTGTGTTTTTTTTTATTGAGCAAAGTAAAGTCAATAGTGCTTCGGGTCCAATACTTCACTACCGGTATCTCGGATTTTCATTATCAATTGTAAAAACAAGTTGAATTCGCATTTTTAACATTGACAAACCGATTTTCCGCGTAGTCGAAATACGTCAAAAAATATATTTTGGGTCCCACTTCACCTTAATACCTATTATTCTCGTATATATTTATATCGTACCGCACGACGTACCATTCTTTCCTGTACGTCTGGCGCACCTTGGGCAACAATTAGCTAGTATCTTACGCCGATTGGCAAATACTTCCACCACGATGGCCGAGAGTATGCCATTGATACGATAAGAAGAAGACTGCCGTCCGTTAACTAAAACGTGGTTAAGTGACAAAATAATTTTTTGAGATATCATAAAATCTATAACCGAGTTTTAGAATATTGAAATTTTTTAATGATATTTCAGCTACGCATCGTTAGGGTGCGTTCCCACTATGTCGTCACGTTTTATTATCGTTAGACGACTGTCTAGCCTGTTCCCATATCACGACTATTTGTCGTGGACGATTTTTTATCGTTGAACGACTGTCGTGACTAGCTGTTCCCACTAGATCGTGACGACAATTTATCGTTTCACGACAGTCTCCTTGCCCATCTCTGGCTACGACCCAACGCTACTGCAAAGCGAGCAGAGGGCGCGGGGTATGAGAGGAGAGGGCAGGGAGCAGAATACGTGCGGACAGCGATAGATAAAACGTGACGACAATAGGAGCTGCGACAATCTGTGATCACGTTATTATCGTGACGTTTTTTTATCGTCAGACGACTGTCGTTCTAGCTGTTCCCACTATGACGACAGTTTGTCGTTGTAACGTTAAAAAATCGTGAACGACAGTTAATCATGTCGTGCTATATGTGAACAACTTCATTTAAATATACAAGTCACGACACTGTAAACTGCACGACACTCTGTCGTCACGACATAGTGGGAACGCGCCTTTAGGGTAAGTCCCAATAAGTCGAACACGTTAACTAATTTTAACTGTTTTTAAAAGTGAATTTTGTGGTCTATCTTATGCTATTTAAAACGGATATTTGACCATTTGTCACTTAGCCTCGTTTTAGTTAGTGCACGGCGAAGGATAACTTTTAGTAATTTATTTAGCTAGAACTAATCAGAATAATGTTCTTTTTAAGTTTTTCCTTGTTAATTAAATTTTTTTATTGAATTGATATTCAATTATTTTTTGTGAAATTACTCCACTAGTTTGTTATAATTATTAATACAAAGATCGAACACTCAGAAAAAATTCCTTCGATCCGGTCGGATTTTCCTTGTTAATAAGTAACAGTTAATTACCACAACTCTAACAACATCAAAAGGGCCCGATTATTAAACAATAGTTGAGAGTTTGCCCTCATTTAGGACCACGCGGTCAAGTTTGCTCTCGTTTAGACTCACGGACTCAAGCGGTCAATGTTTTTATTGTTTTA